CGATCCCAATACGAAGTTCGCGAACATCAGGGATATCCATCGGGCTCAAATCGAAGCGGGTGAAAAGGAGGTTATCACGGCTGAATCCAGCGACTCTGAATGCCCTAGTGAGGCTGGCAGCTGTATTGTAGTGGGTGTGGTTGAGGATCAATAGTTAATAGTAATGAGGAGGTTGGGTTGTGATCCCATCGTTTTTGTGGTGCCAGAAACAGGGGGGTGCCAGGAAGTGGGTATGTTGACTTACTTGTAGTAGTTGCCCGCCAGCTCAGAGCCGTTGCCCGCGGCGAGGGTGAAGGTGACGTCGCTCTCAGTGATGTTGGCGACCGTAATGTTAGCTTTGGAGGAGCCGGGGATCGTCCAGGTGATGAAGTCCGAGTCGACGAGGTTCCGGACGTTGGCCGGGTTGAGGCGGAGCCGGATGGGCGCTACGGCGGGGAGCGCGCCCGAAGACGGCTGCGGTGACCCGGCGGACGCCGAAGCCGGGGCCGAGGGCGGGGCCGACTCCTGGGCCAGCGAGGCCGTGGCGAGCACCGCCGTGGCCAGGGCCTTGAATATGCCCTTCATGATATGTGCAAGGGTATGTTTAATGATCGAGGAAAAGACTGACGAAAACGAATGAAAGAGAGGTACGCATACAGGTTCCTGAGAGCTCCCAAGGGATTCGCGGGAAGGAAGTCTTGGGCCACTCAATATGTAGGACACCAAGACGGACGGTCTCTCGCGCCATATTTGCCCCGAACCCACCAGCTCTCTGCCCTTCATTTCCCCGTGAGGCTGATCGTCCTCTGTAGTCAAAGTGTCCCATTTACCTGCAGCTGCATCCCCAGATTGGAAAGAGATGGAGGGATCCCCCCTCGGATGAACCGCCCGGGAACATGAGACGAGGATTGGTGGGGTGGTGACCTGCATGCGCGCCCTAAAGAATTGCCTGAAAGCAAAGGTGGCTGCAGAACCGGGAAAATCCAGCACGAACTCGTTTCCACGAGTAGTGTGGTACCCTTGCCATGACCTTCTGTGCCTGCGTCGCATCCGCTGACATGACGGCGCACACCTGGGTGCCGCTGTCTTGCAGGTCTTGGCACCTTTCTACAAGTGGACCCGGCGGGTATGAAGTGTGTTTAGGCTTGATGAGGCAGCTCGTTTTCCGAGCCGTAACCTCCAGGGCGGCTACCAAGGCGCGAAATTGCAAAGGGGTTCGTGAACGGTAAAAAGATGGAACATTAGATCTGCTGCAGCCGCAAGGTGACGTCTCTGAGCTTCCTTCGGAGTTTGGATCCGAACAAAGTTGGTTGAGTGTTTCCGGCGCAGTCCGGTCTGGGCTGGGATTCAATGAACCCGGTCAGCTTGGGATGAAGACCCTGAAGCTTCTATGCGCTATCCCTGGAAGCTCTGTGCAGCTCATCTTTGAAAGATCTCATAGACAAGATGATTTTTGGTCAATCTAGGTTGGCCGACCGCAACAGAGTCCACATCACGATTTGTTTCGGCGCCGGCTTAAGAGATGTTGAGTTGTTGCGTACTACGATTCTGTCCCGAGTCAAGGTTCCCAATGGTGACATGATCAAAGTTTAGACTGTCAAATTGCTCAGACTCAACCTACCTTGGCATAGAGCACTGACACTACCCGATTTTGTCGCTTTCAGTAATCGATCCCGCAGCAGTTCTTGCCAACCTCGGTTTCCGTTCAGCCCATCTCTCAATTATGCTTTTCATCTAAGATGGCTGTTACATTGACGTACTAAATGGAAGTTTTCAGAACTTTATTGGTCCGTTCAACTTACTCAAGCACTGGTGCGGAACAGCTCTGCGCTTTTGTCTTCCGATACTTCGAGTCGCAAAGAGTGCACCAGACCATGCTCAAAACATTGTAGCAGGAGCGCGAGTTGTCATGCCTTACTGAGGAGTTTCACCTACTACACTCATTGACAAAATGCGATTCTGACAATTTGATGTTAGTCGACGTAGGTACGGAGTTGTAATGAGATGAGACAATGCGATTGAGTTGAGAGCGGACCCCAAACAGCCTGGCGGCAAACGACGCCGTTGCTTACGTGCACGTCACGGGTTGGTGCCCTAGAACCTAAATTCCATGTTACGGTACGGATACGGAAACTTGTACATGGACGAAGGGGAAATAATAACTTGACAACGATAGTTGTAACGTACAATGCCATTTCATTAGAACTTGGCTCGTTCTTGAAAGAGGCCGGACGCAGAATGCTCCGCGCCAAAACATGACCTTTCTTAGCCAACAAGGCCGAATGCAAAACCGTCCTATTCCTAAAGTTTTTGGGCCCTGAGCATTGTTTAGATCCCATTTCTTCTGAATGTAGTCTTGCGAAAAGTTCGAGTCGTGAGTCATGAATACACCACATGCAAGCATGCACGGGTATTCAGACTTATGCTCTACGTTATGTTGGATTGGACCAAACAATCGACCTTTAGTACTTAACCACGTGTGCCATTCTACTCTTCATGTCAAATTTTGAAGCGAAGCCAATGACTTTCTAGAAAGAATCCCATAACAAGTGATGGTAGCTTTCATGGCTGACATTTCTATACTCTTCACGGTTGAATTTCCTTTGGCATTCAATGGCAGCTTCCCTTCATGTTTACAGCCTACCTTACTTGGTACCTTATGTTCAATACCCTATTTACTGTATAAGTCTACAGGTGAAATTTAGTATAGCATGGAGATAAAGCTCCTCGCCTTGGACCTTTAGTTGCATAATTTAAGAAACGCATTGAAATTGGGCCGAAGGCTGCTTAACGTGAATTTTTCCTTTGGCACTCATCGGATGCTGATCCATGGCTGTGACCGGGGGAACAGTTTCGACGCTGGAGTGTCCCCAAGGACCCCAAATAAGATAGCTTACAGTCTAGATTCATGTTGTGGTACTAAACGACTGATGATGCACGAGACACCGGTCAGTCCGGAGCATGGTGATCGCCAAAGTGGAAAGATCGCGAGGGAAACTCTGAAGTGGCAGAGTAACACAACAATCCGAGTCAGATACGTGGCACTGGGCAGAAAGGGATCGATCGAGCGACGGCAATTCCGTCGTCGTAGAAAAGCACGCTATAATGACTCGGATCGTGATCTCAAGATATGAACGGCCGGTGGGATGTTGGTCGGTGACTTTGTGGGATGCCGTCAACCATCGCCATTCAATCAATGCGCGAGGTCCTAGCAATCTTAGAACAGGTTGGTAGCAGTGCGACTCAGGGCATTGAAAGTCTACGTAGATGAAATGTGTTTGACGAACACACTCAGGGCAAATCTTGCTATATGGACTAATGACATCCAGCACAGCCTCTGGGAGCTCACGCAGGTATGGCGGCATGTTGACTTCGGCGCCGGCCCCGGCGTGCAGCACGATTGCGACTAGGCTCCGTATCATCCGGTCGCCGAGTTACCCATACGCAGGCGGGACACGGGTAAGGGGAGTTAGAAATCACACAACCCACAAACCCGACGCAATGGTTATGAGGTACGGAAGCGGGGAGGAAGAATTCGCGCAGCTGTATCCGTATGCGCCCGGGTTCCGCCGAATCACATCAGACTATTTGAGTCAACTGCTCCCCGCCGTTCGTTTACATGCCGGCACTTGCTGCTGTGCCACCTTGGCGCACAGATTCTTCGAAGAACATTCCGCAGCTCACAGCTGCCATGATCTCCAGAGTCGCAAGCCGAATCCGGCATTGGATTTCTCTCCACGAACACAACAAAGAGGCACTTTGTACGGCCGAGGCTTCGGACCACAGATAATCCCAGCAACGGCCGGTAGATGGCCTCTAGCGAACAAAGGAGCCGAGCCTAGTGCCGGTAAGGGCAAGGTGAGCATGACTCGCGTACGCTAAAGATATTACAGCACCATGTCCTCGGGCTGCTAGATTGCAAAAAGCTCTCTCCCATTGGCATACCGCGGAAACTAGTGGGGGGTTGGCCGATATGACGGCTGCTATCATTGCGGGGTTATTTCACGAGACAAAGAAACGCGAAAGCTTGAAGAAGTTGTCGGGGCCTCAGATCATGATCACCGTCACCTCGCCCGGGAAGTCTTCGGACCACCGAGACATGCACAACCCAACTGCTGCAACATCGCGGACATCCAGCATAGCATAGTTTGGTGACCATGTTTCTGCTCCAAGGGTTCGTCGACCCATACCTGACAGCCGGGGCCGCGATCCTCTTCGCGATCCTCTTCGCCGTCCTGCGCCCGAAGAAGCCGACCCATCCGCCGGGGACAACCCTCCCGCCAGGTCCCAAACCCAAACCCCTCATCGGCAACCTCCTCTCGATCCCGCCGGTACACTCCTGGCTGGCCTTCCACGAGCTCATCAAAGAGCACGGCCCCGTCGTCCGCCTCGCCCTCCCGGGCGGCCAGGAGCACGTTCTCCTCGGCACCGAGGCCGCCGCCAACGAGCTTCTCCGCCAGCGGGGCAACATCTACAGCGATCGGCACTATGCGCCGGCATCGTCGCACTTCCTGACGGATGATCACATGCTTCTGCTGCTTCCCTATGACGAGAAGTGGAGAAATTACCGGAGGTTTCTGCACCAGGTCACAATGTCGCCGGTGGCGCCACAGTATGAGACGGAGCAGCGCATCGAGGCAGTCAGATTACTCCGCGACCTGATCCGCAAGCCGCGCGACTACGAGGCCCTCTTTGAGCGGTTCAGCGTCGGGCTGGGCATGCGCATCATCTACGGCCTGCGCGCGGAAACCGGCCATGACCGTGAGGTGCGGATGCTGCTCGACATCGTTCACGAGCTGGAGCGCGTGGGCTCGCCCGGGGCGTATCTCGTCGATATCTTCCCGTCGCTAAAGTATCTGCCAGAGTGGATGGCGCCCTGGAAGAAATACCTCCGAGCACGGAGGCGCCGCGACGAGGACTTCTTCCAAGAGTTGATCGACCGGAGCAAGTCGCCGTCTTGGGCGCGGACGTGGCTCGAAACGCAAGACCAGTGGGGGCTCACGCGGCGGGAGGCGAATTGGATGCTGGGATCTGTATCTCAGGCTGCGGGAACGACTTCTGGGTCGGCTCTTGCGTCGTTTATTCTCTGCGTTGTCAGGAACCCTGGGTGGTTTGAGAAGCTTCAGGCCGAGGTCGACTCTGTTGTTGGACCCGACAGGTTACCTACTTTCGAAGACATGCCACAGCTTCCGCTTGTCAGGGCGTGCGTGAAGGAGACGCTGCGGTACTACCCGATCACGGCCGGCGGTTTCCCTCATCGGCTGACGGAAGACGATACGTACAACGGATATTACTTGAAGAAGGGGACCGTGGTGCATGCGGTGCAGTGGGCTATCCAACGCGACCCGGAGACCTACCCAGAGCCTGAGCTCTTTAACCCGGACCGCTGGCTGAATCCCAAGTATCCGACATATAGAGAACCTCTCACAGTCTATCCCAACTTGCAGCAGTTCACGGCGTTCGGACACGGCCGCCGGATATGCCAAGGGATCAATATTGCTGAGCGGAGTCTCAACCTGAAGATCGCGCTGCTTGCTTGGGCTTGTAACATTTCTCGGGCTAGGGACGGTAACGGCAAAGAGGTT